AATCTTCAGTACAAATAAAAAGTGTCAAATTTTAGTTTACTTTTGACCCAGTTTTACGCCATAAATTCGTAAATATCTCACTCTCTCACACCATTTTTCATACGAAAATCCACTAAAATTGCTGGCAATTCTCTCTCTCTCTTCTTTTTTTAGCGCGCAAATCCACAAAAATACATTTTTCATGGCATTATGCTGAGGTTTATTAGGCCTGAAATAAAACTCTAGGACGTATTCGTGTCATCGAGAAATCCATAACAAATTTTATTCAAGTTTAATATCACATTTTTGAGCTGCCATCAAATGTTCAGCGCTTTCATGTGAACATGTATGGTGTATGATGTACGCTAATATATATATGAACGTATGACAGTAGATAGATGGGATGAGTGAAAAAGGGAAAATGTATTTGAGTGCTTACGCTGGCACATTGATCACCGAAATCGTATAAAACAAATAAAATCTTCTATATCATCATTTGAATATTTTTAAAGCGATGCAAAGCAAACAACGCGTCAATGAAACGAAAATGGAATCATTTTAATCAATGTTCTCATTTCAAACATTTTGCAAAAGCAAAGAGAGTCAGATAGAGATAAGAATAAAAGATAGTAAGAGGGTTTACATTCGTACAGCTAACTTTTCCGCATTGTTGAAAAAGCTGATTCATTTACAGACCAGAAGTTCTTTTGAAATGTATGGAAACCGACTCTACCAGGGCATAATCTTTGCAATTATTTCAAAATCTATTATATGAATACACAAACATCAAAAGTTTTGTACCTATCCATTTGACCAGGAGAGCGAAAAATTTGCATCCATGATTTTACATAGAAAGTGCATAAAAAATCACATTTGGTCGTTGTGTTTCTTTTTCATATAATTTTACACTAACTAATAAGTAACTCTGAAATGATTTGATTGAAAAAAATGGGAATTCGAAATAAAATAAAATTATCCATGTTGAGACCGGTTTTAGATTCAATGAAACGCACTGAATTACTTCTAAAACTAGACTGGGGACCAAATAAGGAAGACCCAAGAACGACCCAATTCGAAAGAAATGTAAGAAGTAAATTAGAAGATAGTATTAATTATTTATTTTTTTGTGATGATTTCAGTACAATACCTATAACCCTCATGTGCCCGGAAAAGTAGAAAAAAAGAAATTGAAATAGAGCGGTGAGCATGAATGAGTTTGTTGCCAACAGATATTTCCAATAAAATCTGATAGTAGATGTTGCTTAATACCCGCACCGTACATCCACATAATTTCAATGAATTTTAACCAGGTGGGTAAGTTTTCATAAGGATGAGCTTATCGTAAATTTTATGAGTTGAAGCAAATGTATGTGTCATTATGTGTGTACATTAGATCAAACATGAAATGGTTATGATGAAAATGAGCAAATACGTTTAATAAGCAAAATTCCTTACTTTGAATACGTTCGCATAGAGTGATAAAGAGAAAGAGAATTAGAACGAAAGCATGTAGCTTTGACGAATGCATTGGCATGATATGCTCCGGTTTAATATGAAATGCGTGCTATTGTATGTTATAAAATGTGTTGAGTCGCTTGTCACCGACTGACATGTATTAAAATATTTTGTTCGATAAAAAAATATATGTCATTTAATGTATATGAATTCAGATAATTTCCAATTATAAAACTGTCATCAAAACCAGTTGAATTGAATCCAAACGGGCGATACGCATTTCTTTTTTTTATCTAAATGATTGACAAACACACAAAAGTTTGACTCATATTTATTTGGTATTCGAATATTGCGTGCAATTTCCTCCATGGATATTATACTCACTGTAAACGCAAAAATATATTGCGAATTAAAAACGCTTAATACACGATGGCATTGGAGTGAATGCCGTTCGGTTCTCTCGCCATTTTCTCAGCCTTCGGAAAATTCACATTTGTAACATTAAGTCTTTTTCTTTTGCAATACGCGTTATGATTTCGCATTTTTTGTTCATGTCAAATACATTTATATATGTTATCTTTTGTTTGTGTGTGTGTTTATTTTAAATTGTCTTCTTTTTTTCAATCTAGTGCCAAATCTCGTTTTGGTGAAGAAAAAAAGAAGAATAACGCGACGAGTCTTGAAAGCCATTAAAAAAAATTTGCACACAATCCAGCAGAGTGAGACACGAACCTACGTCGAATATGCACGAAAAGTAATAAGTGCAGAAAATAACATACACAAAATAAATGACACCGCCAAGAAAACTTTGTCTAAAAGGAGACATACGAAAAAAAAGAGATGAATCAAATAGAATGGAAATATAAAGAAACGAATGAAGATAGAATAACAAAAAATACATTTGCTTCCGTAACAGGTCGTCTCTTCTTCTCTTTTTTTTGCATCACACATCGAAGGAGTGCGGAAAAAACAGGCGGGTAATAGCGGCGGCTGTATGTTTTTTTTAACAAACACATAATATTCATAATGTTTAGGCATTTGTTGCGCATACACACGTATTGCATTGATCGAAGCACACAAAAAACTTGATGTATACGACGAAGAAAAAAAGATGAGAGAGAGAGAGAGAAAGCAGCAAGCGCGCGTCTCTGACGACACTTTTAGTCGTTTATAAAATGTGTTCGTGTGATAAAAATTATGTCAAAATGTTCATCGCCTAAATCTATTGCCGGTGTCTGTTTGAAGGAAGCCCCTTTAAATAAATATTTATACGTATGGAACAACAACCATTTTATTTTCGTAGGTGATGCAATAAATAACATAATTCATTGATTCATTCAATCTCAATTTGGTTTATTATGACTTTCTTCTTTGTGCATGCCGGGCTCTTCATTTTTAAAGACCATCTTCTTTGTGGTTTTTCATTGAATGTGAAAACTGCCATTCCATTTCCAGCAAAATGACATCGATTTTTCCATTCGCATTTTACACGTTATTTATTTTCACCTTTATGTGGTGTCGTTCAGTGCTCCACCGTGTGTTTTTGTTTGCTTTTATCTTATTTATCATAGAAATGGTGTTTGTGCACGATAACAAATGAAAGATGATGACACACAAATAAACAGTATGATTGAGGGTCAATTGAATTATATTTTGTTTGTACTCCATCCATTCCAATTGTGTGACCCGAAATAAAATTTGGTCAGATTAATGTGGTTCAAATACTTTTTGCATTGTATTTGATCGTGAAAGTCTCGACCCCTCTTCTGTTCGCCCACCAAAAGAACTCCCATGACGAACGAGCGTTGATGATGAACATTATTTATCTTAACATTCTCGATTTAATTGTTGTGTGGATAAACTAGCAGAGCAAGAACCCAGTGCGCTACCAGCATTTCCTACAAGTTAATGTTCCTTGACCCAATAATTTTCAGTCAGCACATTCACACACACACACACATACCCACAAATATACAAAGCAAAAATAAAAGCGTCAACAGTTACAGCGACAAATGTCACACGAATTTCAGCATTCAAACATAAAAACGGCAGCGCAACGAACAAATCACACAAATAAATACCAAATCGAATGTAATGAAAGCGAAACGAATTTCGAAAGATGCTACAAATTCAAATTGCATTTGATAAACTCAATTCCATGTGATTTGGAAAAATTGCTTTTTGCATGCTTCGGCACTCACGTAAAGCTTAATGGATACGATTTTCGTGGCCATTCTAACTCGAATAGTGTGTAATACACATGGTGTTTCCAAAATTCGTTTTCTTTTTTCTTTCTGCTCAAAATGGGAGACGTTAATCACAAACGAACCACTTTTCATATCATGCTGTGCATTCTTAAGTTTCAATGCAATGAATGACAACAAGTGGCAAAACGTGACACTTTTCTTACATTTCTGAGGCACATTTTAAGCATTAAACAAATTAAAATGATCAAAACTTTCAAATACCTTTCAAAATCATCTTCAACACCCTGTATTATATACGATTTTCGTTTTGTCTGTATGAAGCAAATTATTTTAAGCACTACTCACATAAAAGTAAGAGACTAACTTTCGAAGGAAGCCAACACAGCATACAGTACGGCAAAAGGACCACGGAGAAAAAATTCAAATGGAACGCTTCGTCGCATTTAAGATGCAGTTCACGTTTTGTTAGTGTCGCACACATACAATATTCCATTTCCGCTAATTTTGGATGTCATTCAACTGTGACTCGTTCGAAATAATTTCGGATGAGATTGAACGTCACACAGCTTTGCTTCGTCTGCATTAACAGATTTCACTCATTGATGCATCTTCTACAATTCAACATTCATCGAGTTTAAGAGGTAAAAGTATTCGAATCGATCAAAGAACTTACAATGTTTGAAATTAAAAAAAAAAAAACATCAAACATATTTATAGAATTTGTTTTCAGAGAAAAATGCACAATAGATTTTATAGAAAAATCATGTCGCACGTTGCAGAAAAGCTATTCAAAAATATCCAGATTTGTGCAAATTGATTTATTTTATGTGAATCCGATTCGTACCGTACAATGGGACCGCAAATAAATTTACATATTTATAAGAATCTATATGCAAATCTGCGTTTAGTAGACACTATAAAATAAAAATAATTCAAAATACATGACAGAACACGACATTGTCTCGAAAGTGTCATTTTATCGTGCGTCTCTTCTTTCGACATTTTTTCGGGTAGATAGAAAAAAAATTGATTATAATAAAGAAACACAATAAAAAAAGAGTAAGAATTTATTTTAATACAAAAAAAATTAACAAGTATCTCACCAAGACGAGGCAATTTTGTGACCATGCAATTGTGTGTCGACTGCCAATAAGACTGGTCTTCTAGTCGACCAGACTAAGTCTAGTAGTGTTTATCATGTGATCTCAGAATATTCGTGCAAACAAACTGTATGACCTATGACAAAACCTGTTTTTCTTCGATCGAATCGATTTTGCTTCTTAATATTTCGGCATGATATTCGTGTCTTTTTTGTTTCATCTTGCCTTTGTATTAAATTCCAATTTTTGATATTGGCTCACTTGTTGTGATTGTTTGTGTCGACTTCTCATACTGTATCGTATTTCAAGAGCGACAGTCGTTGTTACAATCAGTTGATGTGTATTTGGTAGAAACTTATCAAAAATGAAATATCATTTTGTAAGTGTTGTCAAACTTTAAGATGTGTTCTTGTTGAAAACTTTTACTCAAATAAAAAAGTAAATATTATTTTTAGTTTTCCATGATATTTATGGCCATGGTTGTGGTTCAATCGGCACCACTTGAAACCATTACACCATCACAATCATCATCGTCAGAAATGTCATATCTTCCGCCAATTCAACCAGAAATCACCTCTTACGAATACACACCAACAGACACTGGATATACATACAGGTAGAATAGAAATGATGAAAAAATATTCATGAAAATAATTTAACTTTGTTATTTACTTCAGGTTAGCGGTACCTGGCTTGGTCATTCGTGAGGAAACGCTTGAAGTCCGAAATAAGGGAACGGACAAAGAAGAAACGGCTGTTATTGGCCTATATTTTTTTGATGGCGATGATGGATATAGATATTATATTAAATACACTATCGATAACAATGGAATTATCACTGAAGTTGAAGCAGTTCCAAGACGTCGAGTTCCACCAAATGTTCTAAAAAGTCTTGTTGGCTAAAAAACAACTTTTTTGGATTTGAAAACATTTTTCATAGACATTATTTTGTTCAATTCAAAGCTAGTGCGCGTTAATTTTTTATGTACTTTTTTTTTTAAATAAAAGAGATAAAAAAAGATGTGAAGGATTCTTCAACAGACAAAATAAACGGTTAAAATCATAAACGGGTTTTACTTAACATGTACAGAAAAACTTTCTTAAGCAAATGTTGTAATTAAGACGCCGTGATTGAGTGAAGGTCACTGCACATACATTGAATAAGGCACTTCGAACGAACTTTTTCTCCTCTAAATTGGACGCATTGAGTGCATAACATGGTTATGCTATACCACTCATTAGTTGATATTTAATTGAATAAATCGATTTAATTTTTTTTTTTTTGTAGTTTGGGGGACTCTGGAGAAACTTGTTTCAAAAGTTAATGACCATTATTTTTAGAGATTACAGCAACAGCAGAATATTCCTTTGAGCATGCTACATTCAATCTTATAAAATTGGTATCTTCATTTGTTATTTGGGTTGTCACAACCGTTCTCATCGGTCATAATGACTTCGGTGTGGCCACTTTTGATAATATACAATATGCACTTTTGCTGTCACGGCAAGTTTGCCGATTTTGTAAAGCAAACTTAAACAAGCTGTGTAGAGAACATTTTTAATGATAAGACTGTCTTGGCAAAATAGATGTCTTTAGTGCTTTTTTTGTTCATTTTCTCATTTCCTTATGCCGCTAGCTCAGTAGCTTCATTGGTTTGAAAACGAAAATAGTGAAAAGAATGGACTGAAATTATTTCACGTGACAGTTTAATCATTAATTTAAAGTATAATTGCCATTTCTATAGTATAGTTGCCTCAACAGATTTATCATGGATCGTGATAATGGCCTGAATTTGGTGAATTAAGGTCCAATCCTAATTTCCCACTTGCTAACTCTTTGGGTGTAGTACAAATTTTCGCCGGAATTGGTCATTGAAATATCGATATTTTTCTATATGAAAAATGATTGATTTTCCATATAAATCGGCTCAGAAATGAAGTTTACACACATGTGTGCTGTGAATTAAATTAGCACCATTCGATAACTCACTTCAAGATCCTTCCAATGAAATGTCTCAAGTTCCAGAGCAAAAAAGTCTTTATTCCAGTGCCAATAAATGCCAATACAAACGCCGTATCGATGATGGTTGGCGAAAAGGGGGCTGACATAATTAAAGAAAACTATGGAGTCAATGGCAATATTTTTGAAAATTTTGCTCCGAATAAATGTTGCTTTTTATAATTTTCAGTTGATTTTTGTTTATATTCAATAAAAATAATTATGCTTAAGTTATTGATTTGATATTTATCTGGGAATCCCATTTCTTTTCGAAAAATCTAGAGCGATAATTTGAAAACGGGATGACCAAAAAAGGTGTTCACTTTTCGAAATTTATTAAGTTTTGTGGGTATCACAAGATCTCTAATACAGTAGCTTTTTTATATGAAATCTGTCACACTAACGCCCTCACTCTATCTTTTGGCGAACTAAACAGAATAAAGTTTAATATAAAAGTAAAGTCTCCATCAGGATATTTTATACAACCGGTGTCAAGATCAATAAAACTGTTAATAGAATCTGCCATTTTTACGCAATTTTGCGATGTGATTGCCAGATTAAGAATATAAATAAAATAAATGAACGGAATAAACGAACTTAACAGAACAGAATAATTCGCACGAGTGTATGACAAGTATGTAAGAGAACAATAACATTACGTTTTGTATCTATCTGTCAAATGTCACACTCACACTTATGAGTTTACGTATGGAGATTTTAACAAAATCATTTCTACAAGATCTACACACTCTACACCCGAGGCTTTTTAAGTTAAATTAAAACGCATATAAATTTATGTTTTTTTTAAATAGAAATTATCTAATGCTAATTGTGCTAACTTCACTTTCAAAACAAAAAAATGAAACAATTTATTAAATTATTTTTCAACAATTTTTGGATTGGATGAACATATGCGCTCATTCTCAAACTTGTGAAATAATATCCCATTCTATATATAGATGGCACTGTCTATACGAAGTTCGGCAAACAAAGCATTACGCTTATTGAGCGCATTACACCTCTTGGTATCACCCCTAATCAGAAGCTGTAACTGTTCTAGTTCTTTTGACTGATCAAACTGGTTCTCTGGTGTTTATCTAATTTGCTATATTTTTTCCAATTTGGCCTCATAATAGGTAAATGTAAAAAATCAAATAAATTCGATAATGTTCTATACGCAACGACAAGTCAATAATCAATCAAAATTCGAATAATTGAAATGCGATAATGAGATTACCATAAAAAAAATCGCCAATAAATACAACGAAACTTTAAAAAAAAAGTCATTTATTAGGCGTGCCACATAAAAGTGAATGACTGTGAAAGGTCAGTAGAAGGTAGAGGCATTTAAAAGCTCATTCACTGCCAGAATGGAATTGTTGTTCTTTGCAAGTAAAAGTGGCAATGTTAACATTTTGTAAAACAGGATTTTCGGCTAATCGAAATAATTGAATTAAGGTGATTTGGTTGTTGCGGTGAAGATTCAACGATAATGAATAATTTGGATTTTCGAAGGGTAAACCTTTAACGAAGGCAACGCTACAAACATTCTCTTTCATTCTTTTTGTTTTTTCTTTTTTGCTGTTTATTCGTTCGATGCCGGTGTATTCATTTGAAAACACATTGGGGCGATCAAAAACTCCGTTTTTCCATTTTTCGTAACAGAAAGTTCAATACAACGGGGCAACGAAAAAGAGTTTTTTATTTGTTGATTTAATATACTTCATCGGCTTGGGATTTGTATTTGTTGATTGTGAGCCCAGTTCAACTGAAAATGATTCACATAAATAGCAAATCGAAGCAAAAGTCAAAATATTTGACTCGATTTAGGCTAAAATTCTATTCGAATTTAAGGGTTAAAGCGTATTTTTTTCGGAATAAATTTCCTTCATGATTTCACAAGCCTTCGCCAACCCAAATCAAATGTCTTCAAAACCAAAATGCTCACGAATTTCGTTTCACCTTCTTTCCCTCTCCGCAGTTTTATCGAAATCTTATCGTTTTATATGACTATTCGCAAAATGGTTTAACAAAAGAAAGTGCTTGTGAAATTTCTTTTAGAGATAACACAAAAAAAGAGAATACGAATCATATGTATGATATAGAAATAGAGACGGTGAATTATAATGGCCTGCCGATATCTCATATTTCGTTGGAATCTTATACAAGGCCTTTACTATAATGACCTGAAAACTTTATATCAATACGGTTGCTTGAATGCAAATTGTACGATATTCCGAATTATTTGATGACGTAGAAAGTATTGTCGGGTTTGTGGCTCATACACACAAATACATATATAAAGTGAGTATTGGATTAGCTCATTCAGTACAAACTGACACGTTTATAATTCAAGAAGAAAGTAGAGTAAATGAATAAATGAGATTGGGATCACTACGTTCGGTCGAACCGTCTCGATTTGTCTAGACTGCAGAAAATGCTCAAGATATCAATTCATATCGACCCCGACCATATTGTGTGCCCGGTGCCCGCACAAGAAAAATTATAGTGTTTTCGTCTGATTGAAAAGAAGCACTTTCATATAGCCAATTCAAGTCCACATGGACAAAGTGTGAATAATGAAAATAAATATAATCCAAGCAAATGAATTTCACGAAAGTTCAATTATTGTATGGTTTCAATTTAATAATTGGAAATAATTTTGAAGCAGATTGAACGCATACATAATTCATAAGGTTTGATTTGAATGTCGCGCATAGCTTTTCAAATTCGACACTGTTACGAAAGGCTGCATAAATATCTTTAGAAAAAATTTCTTCACAAAGATTAAATGCAAACCAAAAACCAACAATTCATTCCTTTTCACTTTTGACTTGAGTCGCCCTGCAGCTACAAAAATCGGTTAGATTTCAAAAGTAAACAAATTCGTGCATACGGGCTTTTCTCGATTAACAAAACATTTTATCCACCAAAGATAGGTGTATTGTTTTTTTCGAAATCAAAATAACTTAAATATTCTATCTAAAGAAGTGAACGATTTAATTTTGATATTAAAAATGGTATCTACAGCTTTCATTTGTATGAAATTGCCTTTGGAAACTGACAACTCCCTTTTTTTAACCCAAACAAAAATGATGAATTCAGATAGAGAAAGTCATAAATATAATGTTTATCCAGTCGCAAAATCGACTTCAAATTGATTGGCATTGTGCAAAAATATACTTTTATGCAAACATAATGCACATTTTTTTTCTTTGCTCCGCCAACAACAATGAAACCACTTCAGAAAGAATCGTTAGTCTAATCAAACGAGAAAAAGGTGCGTGTCGTTGGCCCCCCTTATTTTTTACCACGACAATTTTTATTTCAGAATTTGTGCTCTTCAAAAATGCTATCCGGTGAATTTGGCTGCTAAAATCACCAAGCACAAATAGCCGATAATATCGCAAAAAAAGCGAAACCCAAATTGGACATTTTCGCACAGGGACGCACGCAGCGTCGAATCGCATAATTCTATATATCTATTGATACATATGATATTAGTTTCAAAATTACCAATGCAGCGTCTCAACGAAGCACTAAATTCTTATATAAAAATTGTCGTGGTACAAAATAGGGGGGCAACGCCACGCACCTGAGAAAAAACCAGTGATGCTAGGTATCCTGTGTCTGCTACAAACAAAGTGTGCTACGCGTATGGAAAAAACTCTCACCACTAAACTCTATTGTACTGAATAACACAAATTTAATTGGCATGTAAGTAAATAAATCATCATTTTTTTCTATATTCATCTAATCAATTATTATTCATGCAAGAGTTGGTGACGTAGACAAAAAGAAAACTCCCTTTCAAATGCTTGTATACAAAGCGAAGAACGTTCCTTTTCTAGAAATCACAATTTAGTCAATATATCACAATTCATGCAATCTATTATTTGCTACGTAAAATAGGGGTATTCTTGAATTTTTCCAAAATTGAAAGTTTGCTTTCACAGCAAAAAAAGAAGAGATATTTGCTCTCTTCTTAATTTAAATTATAAATACACACTAGAATAGGTGAGAGTTGATTTCGATGGTGGGTGGACTTTGATGTTGAAAATATG